TATTTTACTCCTGCGTGGTAAGTTCACTTCACAGAGCACGTACTGGATGAAGCTAGAATCACGAGTGGGTCTGTTGGATTAGTCGAGTGCCCTTTCGACTTTCAATTCTGTGTAACATCTTGAAGTGCAAACGAATTTGCAATTTACAGCTACCAAGCAAACAAGTACCTTGAAACCGTACGGAAAGATCCAGTCTATCAATAACATTTGTAATCTCGTTTCGTTATCGCATGGACGTAACAACAACAACACTCTTTAATTGAATTAGTATAACAGGTTGCGTAAAGTGCCCATCCAATTCATGTAAGAAATTAAGCCGTACTTCATCGAAGACAAAAGATTCGTCGAATTCGGGAAGCAGTACACCTTCTACATGCGCATCATTGTGCAACAAAAATCATATTTACCTGAACTCTAGCTTCCGTCAAATCGCAGCGCAGTGCCAGTTGTTCGCGCGTGTAAACATCGGGGTAGTGCGTTTTCTGAAAAATCCGCTCCATCTCTTCGAGTTGAAATGAAGTAAACGTGGTTCTATTTCGACGCTTTTTACGTTTGGAAGAAGACTCGTTATTTTCGTTTTCCATCTCCATACAAGACTGAGGACTGGGAGAAAGTTGGGTAGAACCTCCGACGGGAGGCGAAAATTTCCCTGTTGAAGTAATTGAAACACAAGTGTCAAAACATTATTAGAGGTAAAATTCAATTACAATTACAGAACGCAAGGCAATTCACCACCTATTAGATCAATCACAACAGCTTCGCATAATGTGCACCAATTTCCGGAAACTTTTTACTACGACATTAAAAACTGAAACAAAATTTTGACTTTACCAGCTTGGGACTGAGTGCTCATGGAAAGTGTACCGTGTTGCCGGGCCATATCACAACTCACGTAGTTAGCTGGAGGAGAGTTTGGCGCTGCCGTTGCCCGAGGAATCGGGGCATTCGGTTGCATGTAGGATGGCGAGCGCGCGCTTTGGCCGATGGACGAGACAAACTCAGCGAACTTTTCCATTACTGACCGACTGCTAAGACAGACCCGTAACTGCGGCGAAGTGATCGAGTCTGATTCAACCGTCATCACAAGCGCGGAGTATTTTTGTGACACGCGTGACAGCCGCAGAGACCTTCTCAGCCAATCAACGCACTGTATTAAGTGTAAGCTTTAAGTCCGAGCCTTTTCTCAATCCTTCTAACGTCAGTAATAAAGATCTTTAGATAAGAATGATCGTAAGATTTCTTCATCATTCAATCTCATTGGCCATCCCCATGGAAAAACAAGAATAGTTTAAGTGACGCTGATCACTGGAGAAACAATGAGCGTTAATTAGCTCAAGGAAGCTCAGGAAATTCAAAGGGAATTTTTTAACTACTTTCTTTGAGTTGAAAAGCTCAAAGGGGTTTGGTTATTTTCGAGTGGCGAAAAGCAAAGGAGATTTGCTTAAGTCTTTGTTTGAAAAACAAGCGTATGACTGCTTGGAAACACAAAGGCCTACCGACTCTTCCGGTCGACACCTCTCGCTCGAAGGCAAAAGCCATCTGGATATACACTGACTACATGTTCGCAAGAGGACATAGTGGTATGGGATTCGTGCTCAAAACAAGGTGGCCCATTTTGTTGTTAAACGCTTTCATTAATAAGTCATCCCCACTTCTGCCTTAACAAGTGTCGTAATATCTCGTAATTAAATTAATTATCCGTTTACAAGGTCTCCACTGTTTTGTTTCCCTGGCTTGTTAACCTCGCTACATTTAATGTTGAAAACCATTTTCATACAAGAAAGTTTTTTTTTTCTCGTCGTTTGACATGTTAAAGTCTTAATGTCGAGGAGGAAAGACAAGGTGAAGTTATTGACAGCTATCAATTTCTTCTCTTTGGTAAACCCTGGTCAATATTCTCAAGGGCTTATTCTCTGGTCTGGAAAAATATTTCAACGGAATTTGAAATAGGATATAAGCCTTTAAGATCCATTCACTATGACGGTCGGGGCGCATGCTGCGTTTCGGGGGAACACATTTATGATCTCCCAAGCGAGCCCTTCATTTTAAGTATTGAAATGAGAAAGGAATGTCTAAAAGAGGACCTAATACGACGGCATGCTATATCAAAATACACGTGTCTCTTTCCTTTTGTCCTTTTTTCCCTATGGTTTGTTCTAGCTCTCTCGAAACGCGTAAATCCCTTACCCTGACGACCCCGGGTACACAATGTGCACCCCCCCTGTATCTCCCACAGAGCGTCTTAAGAAGATCAGATCACATCTGTCGCAAATATCCTTTTGTTATTCCGCCAAGCTTTACGACGTGAGTATCATCATTGTCCGTTTTGATTGTCACCAGGAAGTGTCCTATTTCACTTCTGTTCTATTTTAATGTCATCGTGTGAGCACACGTGGAAGACTCTTGCGGTTTACCGGCCCACGCAGTCCGAGATCTAGGGAAGAGAAAGTAAAGCCTCCTATTGACTGTATCCTTCTCTTCTCTAATAGCACGACAAGGAAAGAGAGGCGCGCAGTCCGAGTAGTTAAGACAAGGTTAAATAATCTGCCATGAGGGACAAAGTATGCTGCTGGCAACTAATGCTTTCATATTTTGGGCTCAGTCCTTTTTTTCAAAGCTCCCAAATCATTCTACTACATTTCAAACAAATGATAATAACATATCATAATACAATAGATAGAAAAAAAATCTGACTCGAGATAGACGCTGCCTAACCAAACGCCTGTATTGGTTGTTGATCACTTGGAAAGAGAGAGATCTAGTGACTAGACAAGAGGGAAGACGAAATACTTCCGTTAGCTCCCAAATCTACAGAATGAGCATTGACATCATTTTGAGCATTAAAGAAATCCTTTAAATTTAATGCTTTAAAAAGTACAAAAATCTTATTGTATTCTGGCAATGTTGTTTTGAAAAATAGTTCCCTTTTGCTCCGATTAAGCCAAAAATGACATTAGCACAATCGTCTGAGGGTCCGCGGGCGGTCAGCTGTATTAGCCCATTCCCGCATACGGATAGTTACGATTAGTGAGTTGTATTTGAGCTGTCGAGAAATTCATATGAAAATATCAAGATTCTTCCGTGAGTAATGGCTTTTTGACTGAGTGCTGTGTTCCTTGGGATGCTATTCAATTCTATGCCAAAACCGATCCAGCTTATCGCGTCAGTCCCCCCTTACATAATAATTTCCTATCTACATCGGTTAAAACCAAAAGCTGCTTTCCAAAATGGTGGATGCACAATAACATCGACAAACCTCCAGTGGCCTGATCAGCCACAACAACGGATGTAGAAAATCCCTTTCATACCCATTTGAATTCAACAAGCAAATTTTGGACACGGTACCTTACGGCAGCAAAATCCATGAGTTTATGCCAGAAAAATTCAAGATATATCAAGGCCGAGTTTTTCAGGATATTCGGGAACATTTTTGTTGAATCAGGAAAGAGTTTGAAGGAATACTGGAAAGATATTTCCGCTGCCTACGTGATATCCGCGGATAAGCCTACAGGCAAGGTCGTAAAAATTCCTACGAAGCTTCTTTAACTCCTAGGAGAGACGAGCGTCTGATTTCTCCGCACAGTATCACTGTTAAATTAAGACGTCGCCTACTAAATTAAAGAAGCTCGCAATAGTTAGACAGAGTGTCCTCGACAGTACTATAAAAATTTTTACAGAGACTAGTACGGAAAAAATGGATATTGATGTTAGGGAGTAAAGGGTGGAGATTTAGGACACGCTTCGCCGAACCTGAAAAAATTCAGTTTAAATTATTTAAATTGATCAGTTGCATTACTTGCATACCGTATTTATCTTCGTCTTTCTGATTGTATTCTTAATTTATTTGCAGCTTGTTCATGCTTGTTAATTAAGAAATATGAAGTTATGTTCTCTGTATCAGAGGCCATCCTGCTAAAGCTTAACTGACAACTCAAAATACTCATTATGCCAAACCAAATAAATCTATTATTTAATTTACCCCATTTTCATGGACGGTGGGTAGCGTGGCCGAGCGGTCTAAGGCGCTGGTTTAAGGCACCAGTCTCTTCGGAGGCGTGGGTTCGAATCCCACCGCTGCCACTAATTTTTCTTCTTTCCGCTTTCTTTTTTTTCGGTTATTTCTGACTTTTCTTGTCTTCCTAATATGGCTTTTCCTAAATTACGTTCGGTAAAATGTCACAATATTCTAACAAAATATTCGCAGCAACACGATGTGCCCTGCTACCTTCTCCCTTGGTGTACTTCGCCGTGGTGGCAGAGGCATTAACCGTTTATGTCGTGATCAGTTGGTAAACAATTTAGATATTCGACATGTGAACAAGATTTTACCAAGAAACTGCAAATTCACAGTCTATTTCATTATTATTTCTAGTTCCCTTTGCGTTAGATTCCGTTCCATGAGTTTCATTGACACGGCGAATTGTTCCGTGTTCAGAGGTCATGTTACTCTTCAGCTTGCCTGACTAAAGATTTGATTATAAAATTCAATCAACCCAGTTAGGACTCATACAAGTTGAAAAGCCATAAATTCCCTTCCCCACCCCTCCACCAATACAACTACCATACTCCAAGATCAAAAGTGCATTAGCGAGTCAATTTTACAATTGTAAACACGCTTTGTTGGCTTAACAAATTATAGGATCATGTTTACGGAATAGCTTTTTTTTATCAAAATACCTTGTTAAACACTGCATTACATACATTTTGCTGTCGTTACGTAGAACCCTAAACCTCAACCATTTCCCATCCAAACTTCTCGCAGAATGTCCGCTTCCAAAAGCAATTTCTCTCCTCTTTCTATATATTTTATATTGGTCTCGACTTTAAAGAATCCTTGATTGCAGTACTTAAAACAATCGTAACTTAGGCAAACTAACAGGTCCAAATTTGAATAACAGTGGCTATGGGTTGATTAATTTCACACGCCTCTCAAAGCAACAATTAATTCCGCGAGGCCAGACATTTTAAGAATTTCTTCATGTAGTTACAAACCAGCAGGAGAGTTTCGTTGTGATCGTTGTACTAAGTCAAAACTCCATACAAAAACCAGTGTTACTTTTGTGGGTGAACACCTCCAGAGGTATCATAATTTTCTTCAGCTATGACATCAACTAAAATGCTAACACGCAGAGACTCCTATAAACAGACGGACGCCAAGTTTGCGTTGTTGGGGGCAAGGAACGTGGGCAAATCTGGTAGGTTGCTCTCTAACTTTGAGACAAATTAAAGCATACAGAATTTATCGCTTTTAGTAGAATGCATCAACCTGAAAAGAACGGGTACCCTTTCCTCAAATTGCGTCTTCTCGCGGAGAGATCAAAATGAGCGCCTGAACCGGCCAAAACTCAAGTTCGTTAGGATACCAAGGAGTTTGAGATGCTCCTCCTCAAATTCGAGTTTAAACTCGAAGATACAGTTATTCAGAGCTGTGTAGCCGTCCACAGGACATAACCATCTACTGAAAGTATGAGGCGAACCTGGATGGTGTGCATTTATAAGATTAGGGGTAAAATCTGCAGCCTCAAAACTTTGACAAACACGTATATAGACTGTTATGGTTCCATCACCTCTGCAACATATGTTGGGAAGAGTTGTAAGGCCTACAAGGTTAACTTGCTGAGGAAATTTTTCAGTGGGAAAATCACGTGTACATCTCTTCTAATATATATTAAAACTACAGCGGACTAAACTGCAATAGTGTTACAGAATACAGGTGTTACAATGCGGTCTAATCAAGTTACGCAACTTGAAAAAAAAGAGCTAACGAGTACCTACAACGTTAGTGCTTCTGAAACAGGTTGTTTTCGATGGACTTTGGGTTTATAGGGCCAGATTCGACTAAAAGTTTATAAATTAATATACGAATGTACGCGCACATTTTGAAATACAGATGTTCATAGCGTATTATCTGAGTAATCCTTAAGACTTTAGCGACATCGATGTTTACATCATCTGCCCAAAATTGAAATTGATTGAGTGAACAATCTAAATCAACGGAACAGGAAACAAATAATTATAATTGTCGTCTTTCAATCAGTGATCTAATGTACTTATTTAAACGGGACAGAAAATTGAGATTAATAGGGATTCAGAGTTTGAGGTTCAAACTAACAATTAAATGTTTTCAACCGTGGCTCACACATAAAACTAAGATGAAAATAATAAAACTTGAAAATATTTCCAGCAAAAGTTTCGAGTTATAGATATCAAGATTCCTATATCAGGATTGAGTTTGACAGAATCACGTTTTCGGGTCAAATTGAGCTAGTCATTGATGATTCAGATCTGCATTACTTCGAAAGAAAAGAGTTTGTTTAATCAACCTCTAAGTTTTAAATTGTGTAATGACATATTTGATAGACATAAGATGTACGAGTTTACACTGTGGAAAAAACTCATTAGTTTTACCCAGCCTTCTGCAAACAAACCGTTTTTACCATATTCCATTAGAGCCATGAATAGTTACAGTGTGAAGATGAGGTATGGATTTCACAATTGCGTGAAAATTACGTTCCACATTTGATTGTCCTTCTATCACTTTGCGCGAGAAAATTGAAGTTATTATTGAAACATGATTGAAAAAGGCAAAAACGGCATTAAATCTAAGGAGAACTAAAAGGTGAAAAGGGCTTCCAACCATGAATATTTCAATAACATGTCGGAAGTTGATTTTTTACATTTCGCTTAAATTGAAAATATAATTTTCTTACTGTGATAAATACACAGAGCATGTGAAGCACAGTCAAAATTTGCACAAGCGTTTTTTAAAGGTTTAAAACACAGCAAATTGAAAAGAGGAAACAATGGCTGTTTATCTCTAGCGGAATAAGCAAAAGAAAAGAGTTGAATAAATTAGTTGAATCATGCTTTTAAAAGTGAATTACTGACAAAGCACTTAGGACAAATTAGGATCAAAGATTACAAGGCCGTCGCCATAAAGAGCAGAGTGAAAAGAGTAGGGTTCGTTCATCGAACTTCGAACCTTTCTTGCTTAGTAATCAATGACGGGTCTCCTAAAGCTTGCTTCTGATAAAATAGGAATGTAAAATATGATTTTCGTTCGTACTTAGCAATTTTTGTTAATCAGTGCGCTAATTAGAGGGGAGCTTACTCTAGCAAAACATTTAATCCTGTGCCTTGAAGTAAATGATTTAGCATATCTCTGTCATCTTGGCAAATTGGTGAACTGATAAGTCATTTCCAAAATGTGTAAGCCTTTTATTGAAAACGAGGGTAAAAGTGGTCTCAATTAAGAAAATTAAAGAAATTTTTCACAGGAAAAGTTTTCCCTTTGGACTCTTTTAAAATGTGATCTGGATGAGGATTTTAGAAATCAAAATAGGGCTATTCAAGACAAACAGAGGGTGAATACGTAAAGAAACAACTCAGCTCTTCGTTTAATTTTATAGCAGGATGTCATTAACATCAAACTGCTGAAAAGTCATCATGAAAAAAATTAAAAAATTGAAAAAGCTGTGAACACTTCATCAAACACGTACACAACACTCTAAGCTTCCCGTAACTCGGTAAAACGTGAATGTAATGGAGGATTTTGTTTTTGGTTTTGCTTTTTGTCTTTCTTTTCAAATCATGGCTGTTTGTCTTCTTGCTCTTCTTGAATACACTTTATTCGATGGTTTAACATCATCGTAAGGATGGCCAGCTTCAAGGTACCCCAGCGAACGTCTTCAGTAGCCCTTTGACCCTTTGTGTGATCAGTGCTTAAATTGTTCTTACAACATTAAGACAGTGTCAACCAGACAGGTAATGAAAATTCCTCGAGCTAAGCCGGTTGTGACTTTTATTGGATCAGCACAATAATCAATAGCTGTGGCATCTCAGCCGTTTGGTTTCACATGCAAGTGTTCTTGTTTCTTTTTGTTCCTTTTGGTGTTTGGCTGTGTTTTTGTTTCGTTTCGCTTTGTTTGCTACATTTTTGCTGTCGTTGTTGTTGTTGTTGTTGTTTTTTTTCTTTTGCTGATTTATAAAAGTTACTTAGAACGTTTTCTCCAAACTGAGAGCGTTTTCTGCCGTTTATTTTGACTGGTTCCTGCCCCTAGTATAAGTGTATTCATAAAGCATAGTCCGCCAGTGACCTTTGGTGGATCGACCCTGATCAGATCATGAACTGAACCCAAAAACCAAGGGAACTTGACCGTATCTGTACGTTAACTGAATCAGTTCAATCTAATTAAGTGGAAGCACGCGGCAAACTGACAATAAGTAGCTTTAATTCTATCGACGGAAATCTGGACCATTAAAAAATTTTGCTTAACTTAGCTTTGGATTATAACACCCTAATTATTAAAACCGCATTTACACAAGAGAGATTTCCCTGACTGTATAGAGGAGACAAGTGTCAATCTTTCCTCCTCCTGTCTTCCATGCCAGACTTTGAACAAGGACACTTGTCAGGAAAAAAGAGAACTTTTCAAAGATTCATTATACCAGTGTGAATAACTTTAAAAGGGAATTCGCCAAGAAAACGTGATAAGGGTTTAAGGTATATGCTCCTATAAGTTTTCCCGGTCAAGTAGCTATCACAAGTTGTTTTTGCTTCAGCACGCACAAGGATTAAAATTTTACTTTGAAAAGTATACCAGCTATGGAATACTCGCTGATGTAAATGCGGTTTAAGTAACTATTTACATTTTCTCAAGTACATCAAACCCTGTTTTGTTGTGATTGTTTTCTTCGACAGCAATTGCAGTAAGATTCCTCACGAAACGTTTTATCGGCGAGTATGACTCATCCCAGGGTAAGTTTGCCACATCCCTAAGAGTAACTTACATCTCATTTCTCCTTACAATAATAACCCGAAATCAAGCATTAAGGTCACAAGAATAAGGCAAATGATCACCAACTAACAAAGCTCTTGATTGTTTCACAAATTCTTCTGTCAGTACATTAGGAAATGTACAAAAAGCAGTATGGAGAATCTACATACTGATGCTAGGGTGTAAACGGTTGTTACCCGTTATCGTCCCTTCTTGGATTACTCCATTCCAATTTGCTGTAATTGAATTGTCTAAGCGAACATTTCACAGTTCAAACGGTAATTCTGCTCTTCGTAACAAGAGTGAAAGTATCGTGATGCTGCGCCCATAAACTTCTTAGTATAAGTGGATCTGTCGCAGACCTCCTCCTGTGACTCAGCTGACCTGCTCCAATTTGAGGTTGAACAGGCGATATGTTCCTACCAGCGGTCCTCAAAGTTCAAACCCTAACGATGTCATACAAGTCGCAGATGTACACCCTCTGAGTCGAGCTCTCATTATTAAGAAAAGACGTTTTAGGGTCATGTAACTAATGGAAGCTTACCACAGTAATAGACGTCGATCGTCTAGTTTCCTTCTTCATAAATCTTTACATAAACCGTCTTCTCTGTTACAAAGCCCTTGAGGACTTATAATCTATATCTTCTAAAAGTTGTTACATTTCTTTCTTTTTTCTTGCAAAATGCAGACTCTACGTATCAGTTCAATTCGACTATTGACGAAGAGCAGGTTAACTTGGAGATTATAGACCCAGGTCCAGAGGTTGGTTTAGGTCAAAGCCATTGTTCTTTACGCACGACAATCCAAAATTGCATAGGGTTTTCTTTATTTTGCTCTGAGATTGGTCTAAAAAGCTCGCTCAACTCCCTCAGCCAATCAGATGCAAAACAAAAATCAATTCTCGGCATGGTCCTACGCTTCAACTGAAGCAACCTGCTTGCTTCAACCCAGAGTTCCCCTCGGCCTCTCGTGATGTTTCCTTAGCTCCAATTAGCTGTTGCGATTACGTTACTTTTGGTTTCACAACAACTCTAGGCTCAAGCTGACACAAAAAGTGCTATCCACTTTTAAAAAAACGCATTAGAAAAACGAACGCTTTTTTTTTGGCGTTGGAAGTCACGAGCTGTTTCAGACTTTTAACCAGGACGCCCTAACATGTACCTTTGTAATCTTCGCCGTTTTTCTTTTTCAGTCAAGAAACGAACAAACTGTGGGAAGTCGAGCGATCTGGGCCGACGGTTTGATCCTCGTCTACTCAATAACCGATCGGAAAAGCTTCGAGGAAATACAACACCTCCATAATCTCATTGATCCTTTTAAGCAGAAAACGGTCGTCATCATCTTCGGCAATAAATCGGATCTCGAACACAAACGACAAGTACCCGAAAAAGAAGCCGCCTCACTTGCAGAAAAATTACAATGCTCGTTCTTTGAAGGTTCGGCATCTGAAGGACATACGAAGATCTCTGAGGCATTTCACGAGCTCTACAAGGAGGTCGCCAAGAGGAAAAAAGAAAGAAAGGTGTCTCTTTCACCTCGCCCCTTAAGAAATGCTCTTGGAAAAGTTTTCCGAAGAAACAGCAGTAAAAACTTGCTACTGTCTCCTTCAGGTGCACTCATTACATAGCAACATCTCAATTTGACCTTTAACCTCCCAGGATCTGTTTTGTAATTCGCCCTTACAATTGCCAGACTTATTTACAAATCAATAAAGGAGGTAAGATTTTAAAGAAACAGTGGTGTTATACAGGAGATAATAACAAGGTAATTTGGTACTATCCACTGAGTTGGCTACCAACTGACTCAGTTGATAATGCCAAATTACTGTGCTTACAAATCAGTTCTGAGAATTTGAAGTTATCATTCACACATCCAGCTAGCTGGATAATGTATCAATATTTAAACAAAGTAAGATGTTAATCACTTCTGTAAGGTTAAGGCTTGACGCCATCCCATTGAGCGATTTCTTGTATTTTTTCCACATATCACAAGCAGCTTTTATGCTGCACTTTTTGAGTGGCTCACAAGCCTTAAAATACCATGTAAAATACAAGATTTTTGAATGAGTGAACACTGAAACACAAATATCTGTCAATAATCCTGTGCAGGATAATTGTGTTACTATTGTTGGCAAGTTCTAGGCTGAGGGACTTTCTGACTGATAGCTTTGAACCACACCGCTACTATTGTAAGACAACAGTATCACTTTTAAATGTGAGAGAACTGATAAATTTTCCAATTTTTTTACTTCACATGAAAGATCCATAAAGCACATGTAAACCTTTCTGTAACAGCTCACAAAGTACAATCAAAGGCATGACACTCATTTGCCAGAGAGAATATAGCTTTAAAACATATTTATCCATAAACCACATTTGCTGCTAAGGATGATCTCTGTCCAGTTAATGTCCAAACGGTTGCCAATCTCAATACCACTGGTTCAATATATTTCCTTCAATCTGGTTATCAATACTTCTCTAGAGCAGCATTCATCTGTGATTTTCCCCATATGGGTTATTGCATTGCTACTTTTTAAGTCTGAGATTGAATCTTATCAAGAAGATGTTCAATTTGGTTGGCCATAATTGGCTGGCCTTTCCTTGTTCGTCGATTCAACCGACCAAAGGTTTCTCTGCGCTTTTTCATCTTTTCCTGAACCTCGTCTCTGTGTTTTTGTATCATTGTTTCCCTTTCCTACACATTGAAAGAAAATAATCAGCACACTAAACTTAGTGAGAAATGCCATGGCAAAGTATTATTGACAAAAGAAATGATGATGATGGGTTTTTCAATTGTAAAGAAAGATCTGATTTTTTTTGGTTCATTCCTCTTGAGTGTGAAACAGTGGAGATAGATACTGAGGGGAGGAAATAAGTAAGAGAGGGTCAGGTACATGTAGCAGAATAATAAATCTGGAGAGCCCTGGCTCAAACATGTTTCAGTGACATACATGTAGGAACAAATAAATCAGAAAGTAAATATTCATACAGCTGGAGGAAGAGGTAGGACCAGCATTATTGGGTGTTTGGGAGTATTCAGAGGATTCAAAGGAAAATAAGATCCCTTGTACATGTAAGGTTGCCTTGTTTCTTATGCCGTCAGTTTTTCTCACTTGATTTTTGTTTGCTTTCAAACATCCTGTGAAGTATTGCAGCTATTTCTACTCCCTTATTTCAACTTTTTAAAATCCAGACATTGTATCATGTTTCACCCTTCCGTCAGGTTATTGTAGCACTGCATTGTGCATGTGTAGCAAGACGTAGCACAGGCCCTTAATTTACAGGCCCTTCAGCTTTCCTAAACACAAGTCACAGTGCACATAGAGAGGTTGACTGACTGTGTCATCCCACATAAACTTTCACATTGAAGACCCTGTAAGTGTATTCAATCAGAATACCATCTCTCTAATGAAGAAAACAGGTGTTAATTGAACTAGAAAAAATATTTAAGATTATGATTACCATATCAACTACATCTAGCTTAAACACATTTTTAAACATTGGTCAATTCAACAAACCTTAATCATCTGTTCCTTCTCCATTTTTCTTTTCTTAAAATCACTTTCAGCTGCCATGAATTTGTTGACTTGTTTCCGCTTCCTTGCAGGAGCACAAAGAAACAAGGAGCATGAAAAGTCACAAACTTCTCTTCATTAGGGTTTGTTCAATGAATATACACCTATAATTAATGATCTATATAATCTATAAGTTTTATTTTTATTTTATGACACTTTCCATGGCAACGCAGTGTATTAAACAGGTGCTTGAAGGGTGAACATGGCAATGAACAGCCTTAACCCTTAGGAGTTACTAGCGTCTACAAGTAATTTCTCCTTACAATATCACCCCTGTATCACACATTAAGGTCATGAGAATAAAGAAAATGATCAACAGCCAAAGAAGCAACTTGATTGTTCAATAAATTCTCCTTGTCAGCACCCATGGAAATGTACAGAGAACAGTATGGAGAATATGCAAACTGATGTTAGGATGGAAAGGGTTAATCACTATTGGCACAAATTAGCAGGTCAACCAAGGCTTATTACACACTACTCCATAAAACTGTGCATGTCAGTCCATCATTCCTGTGCTTTCTTTAAATACCACAATATACCTTTTGTAAAATAGTTAAACCAAAATTCCAATGGCTAGAGCTGTTTTAAATTCAGATACGAAAAGTTTTCTCCTGCTACTTTAAAAATGTCCTCCTGATGTTACATCTCATAATGAGAACCCTGAATAAGCATCCCAAATAATAAAGGAAGAAAAGGCAAGGTTTGGACGAGCAGAGAAGGTTCCACTACTGACTGCTCGCTCTCTCGCTCGCATCTACCATCAAAACGTTAGAAAAACACAGAATTATGGGCTGGGAACAATTCACTATTTTTGGGTTGATTTTACTTCCGATCGGGAAATGATAACTACATTGACTTACTGTTGAGATTTTGGTCTTCGCACTCCCTGACTTTCTGTTTCGTTCTGTATTAAAAAACCAGAAGTTTAGGGCCACTCACTCTTCTGATATGTCACTAAAAATTTGTAAGTTCGGGAGAGGCAAACCTTTCCAGTTGTATTCACATCTGCGACACGTGTTGGACGTTGCAAACGTGGAGGATTATCTCTGTTGTCTGCTGACTGACGATTCTCATGTTGCTCCCTTGTTTTCCTCAGTAGCTTTTTGTATTCCTTAAGAGCCATCTTCTTCCGTTTCTCAGCAAATGCGTGGCCTATATATACACAATGTTAAATAAAGACAAACGTTCAGTTTATGCAAGCTAGGTTTCTTCAAGACAAATTAGAGATGACTAGCTCCTTTAAGTTCCCAAATCTAATCTAAAAACGCCTACCCTTCTCTTTGTTCCCAATGTTAAGTAAATTTGCCGGCTTCTTCCAGCGGAATTTTGGCTTCCCCTTGGATTTTGTTCCTTTCTTTTCTCCCTTTCTCCTCTCTTCGTCCGCCATTTTGAATTCGAATAGTTTCCACCGGTACACCGCTGTAGCATTGCGGGCGAATAGCGTGGAGCTCGTTTCCAGGGTAGTACGAGGTGACCTAGCTATGCACTGCGTATTCGAATATTTCAGTTGATCCATCCAAGGGATGTTTACTGAGTTTGAATACCGTGTTTACAGGATACGTGACAGAAAAAGGCAAAATTATCGGAATTTCTTTGTAAAACCAGTGAAAGCACGACATATATATTTGATTTTCACCTTCCTCGTTCTAAACTGACAAACGATGGGCGTTCGATCTCTCTTTTTGCCAATTCGGACGTTGCTCTTTTTTAGTTGATTCGACTTCTATTTTTCTATAGACTCCTGTAAAAACAATGTTTCAGCGCTCATGGGCTTACTAGTGGGGACGAAAGAAATGTAAAAACTTCGAATGTGTCGGCGTTCAAGAATCATGAATGAAAACTAAAGATGGAAATCATTATGTATATCTGAAGGAGCTTTCACAACTGATGATAACCAACTTTGCAACATTTTTTCAATGAAATTTCTGAAGTTCTTTAATAAAAAACATCTAATTTCACACCCGACATTAAAATGATATTTAAGCTATTTACTTATAGAAAATTAAAATCTAATCTACCTTTTTTTCTTGTTTGCCATTTCTACAGCTTAAGAATTTAATTAAAAAAATCCCCCTTATCCAAAAAGATCTAAAGCTGCAATAGATAATGAAGTAGCTATAGCGCATTTAGATAGTTTATTAATTTATCATTATTATATTCCATGACAGGTTTTCATCAAACGAACACTTGAGGTATAATTAGCGCAAAAATAAGATGGATATCATTAAAAGATTTCACGTGATCCCTACAATTATTACACGATAAGATAATGATTAGGATTTCGTGTCCATATCAAAAAACAGCAGTGTCACCCATAAGGGCGATAACAAGAAGTAAACGACTTTAAAGGCAATTTAAAATGATTCCAAATATGACGTCTATCCAATGCCGTGTTGTTATCTTCTTTCAGGCCATAATATACAGAACAAAAATATATTGGGACGTGCAAACTTGATTACCGTTTCCCTTCCTTTCCTGAAACACTTAACCAAACAAGACTTGTAAGGACAAATATCTCGTGATAAATAGATAGCTAAAATAATTTTTATTGGGGATAGTTTTGTTTGGTGATAAATGATTGGAAAGGTAATTAAACATACATGATTGATACCAAAGCTAGCTTTTAGGGCAAGCTCAAACTCTGGAATACTGATCGTGTCATCTCATCCACAATATTTTACCAAAAAAAAAAAACAATTTTTTATCAGTACGGATACCCAAAGACCAGTAACCGTCTAAATACTTTTAAGCTATAGGAGTCATTCTCTAAAAACGATCCGTTCGTTCGTAATTACAGCATCACGGTGATCATACAATTTCTACGCAATTAAAGCAACTAAGGTGTCATCGTTATATTAAAAAAATAATGACACAATTAAAGCCGCTCACGAAAAAGAAAACGCTTTGGTGCAAGTCGATAATGATTCCAGAAATGAAGCTTGCTGCAGAGTGCTCAAATGACGTATCACACGGGGATTTTAAATAATGATATGTGTCACAGCGGCAGATTGAAATATTATGACTGGTGACTTAACGTATAAATACGTACCAATCTAGGCGAAAAACCTGCTTAAAGATCTCGACTGATGAATTCAGAAAAAACAAAAAACTTGAGGTAATTGATTTTAAGTATGATTGATCGAGGTATATGATTAGAAATCTGTTTAACTTTTAAAACAAACTCAAATTATTAAGTCTTTGATAAATGTAAAGTCGTTTCCTGTATTGCAACGGCAAATTGAAGCAATTTCGGTTCTAATAATTGCGGTCATCTAATTATCTCTAGCTGTGGGAAATTATTCCTCAGAAACAAACTTGAGATCATAAAAATATTGATATTTGTAAAATTAGAAAGTAATCTTTGAAAAAAACCTGTCGCATGTAATTACACTGCAGATATTATTCAATTAATAGCAAGTTATAACCAAACCGCCATAGGATCACACCTAGACTGGATTATTTAAGGGATCGATCATCGTCAAAACTGCAATTCTTGATCTACCTCAGCTAAGATCAGGTCAGAGAGGAAACATGGTGTTTCTACTAAAAGAAATCTTCTTGTTGACGATTGTGGCATCGGCGCTGACTTTGCCCTGGGGATCATATGGTAAGGCACTCACTCAGAGTCTCCTCTCTTTATTTTTTAAGTAGAAATGCCACATGGACTGTAACACGAATTTTGTTGAGAGATCGCGCGCATGTTTGCCTAATATTTAGTCCTAGGAGATTATGAATCTGATCATAAGTGTTCTTTAGCAGCTTCAATATTTATTGAGTTTCAAAAGTTTAATGTTTTGATTCTGTGCCTTGCACATTTTAGATATGAGTTAGATTTTGACATGGATATTTTTTCATTCTGAAAATGTATTGAAAGTTCCATTCAAGACATAGCTGAGTAAGCCCCTTATTTACCTGTCAGAAAAGTCAGTGAACAAAAACAGAATATATTCAAAATAAAGATGTTCTCTTAATTCACTGAACTGAAACTTGAAGAAGTAAAGAAAAACAAGAAGTTTTGCACTGCTCATTTCCATTCACGAATTTTCATTCGGTGGTTAGAGATCATTCAAGACCAGTTGTGGTTTCATTTAGTGTGACTTTGAGGAGATCTTTGAAATTTTGTCTTCAATCATATTACGCTGATTAGCGACTTGTTGGTGACAAGAGTGAAAACTAACCAATTAAAACTGATTGATCTCTTTCTTCAATTGCAAGAAAAAAAGAAATCAGATAAAAGAGACAAAATACAAGACACAAAAAAAGACAAGAGAAAGACCTGCCATAACATCAATAATACGGCCACCTCGCTGTTTTTACGTAACAGAAATTTCTTCCATGAAATCGAGCACTGGGCGTCAAAATAATTTAATTTCATAATGAATGCGAGCACTAAAAAGGTAAAAAAAAGAAAACAATAATGATGATGATGACGATATCAATGAAAAAGAAAACAACAATGGAAATGACTGAATGAAAACGATAACGGTTATGATAATGGCATTGATAATGACGCACAGAATGATTATTAGAAATTACAATATAATAACTGTCGCAGTTATCAAGGTAATGATGATCCCCATCACTGGGACACCAAGCTGTCTAACGTAATTTAACTTACGATTTTAGATACTTCAAATGACCCCCGTAAGGATGGGATAGAGAATCGTGTGAACGATGCTGAGTAACAATGTCAATTAGCTTCTTACATAATGATCGCCCTTGAATATTCGTCAGTTAATCCAGGCCTCCATTTCATCCCAAGTCTCTATCATTTTCTCTTAAATGATTGACTCCGCAGGTCCCTCGAGTTCCAGGGACAGTACTTCCTTCCTTCCTTGGTTATAACTCAGAGAGTTAAGGCAGATAGACTAACAGACTGTTGTAATTTAGTTAAAATGATTCATTTCTTAAGCTCAGATGCCAAATTATGTTAGCAAGGAGAGCTTACATTCAATTTTTTTTACATTACTGTTGTATGATTAAAGTGAATGATAGCACAACATGTATTTTAGAGAACGACGTTAGATAACCCCCCTCTTCATCAGACCGTCAAAAACAGTTTGCTAATCATTTGGCAGTTTGTGCTTCATAGTTATCCATTTTCACAATCATCAAATCTTCACGGATGATCTATTTAAGCAATTACTTTGACCGCTTCTTACTTCTTCAGTAGAAATGGATGGAACTGTCGATGATCTTCCCAACGGTAAAGAGGAAATTTATCCAGTGGTAGCCAACACGGACTCAAAGCGCGGTAATTGTGAATGATTTTTAATAGAGGCTTCAACCCTCTCTTTTTCCTTTTCACAGGTTATTCTTGTTGTATTTGATAAGATGATGCGTCCACTGGGTGGGGCATTTAAACTTTATGGTTTTTAATAAAAGGGATTTCACACATCAAGGGAGAGAGAGAGAAGTAGCAAGAAATATGCGCGTTACGTCTGTTACGGGTTGTTGATGCCACGATTCACTCAAACGAAAATAAATTCTTTTCCCGAAAATGTTTAAAAGAAAAGTCTTATTTAATAGTAATATGGTTGCTGCAAACATCAAACAAGATTTTGAGCATTAACAAACCACTTTAGATAGTCGTCCTTTTTACACTCAATGGATGCGATTAAGTCCAAGCTTCAAATAAAAATAAATGAATATGTTCCTCTTCTCCCCCCTGGCCTCCCCGATTCTGCTCTCCATCACATGAAACATATGTTCTTATTATCCGATGAACCTACATGGATGCTAAGCGCAGGCTTGATGCATCTTTTTTTCCATCAATTTTTTCACCTCATCAGCATGCCTATCGGTCTGACTATCTTTTGAAGAGGTGTGAGCTTTTGCGTTAGGGAAGATCAGGAGGAGGGGAGGGGTTCTCCGTGAAAAATCAATATAAAAATAACATTAGCATAGAATATTGAACATAACTTGATTTTTCTTGTGATTTCGCAGCTGTTCCAGACCTAATCGTGAATGATGATAAGCCGGCTGTTGATGGCGAGAGTGAAACATTCCCAGACACGACCTACGTCGAACGAGGTAGTATATACATCAGTATATTGTTCCGTATACACACTGTATAATGCTTCATTACACAGCCTTATATTCGACATTT